ATATGAAATATCTGATTTGGTCTTATAGCTGATTAGGTATATCAAGATACTCGGTCGAGTATGACTTGATTTCAGCTCTTTTCGGGCTATTGCTAACCATTTAAATCATCCAATATCCCTCATCCTAAATTTCAGTTTAGACTCCTATGAGGAACTAAACTCTTATGTCTTGGGTTTGCAATATTGAGACTTGTGATTTTGTAAGTTGTGAGTTATTTTCTTAAATCGTCATCTTTTGAGTACTAATTACATTCATAAATATATTTCATATTGAATTTTGAGCGTTGCTAAGTGATCAATTAGTTAATTTTTCCATATTGATTACTAGTATTACACCCGTGCGTTGCACAGGGTAAAATGTACTCTCTCCGTCCCTTAAAATTTTGCCAACTTTCCTTTTTTGAATGTCCCACTAACTTTGCCACTTTTCCTTTTAAGTAAAGAATTTGTGGTTCCACTTAATTCTCTCTCCTCTGCACAAAACTCAACCACACAATTTTTACTTTATTAATCCTCGTGCCGATCAAACTTGGCAAAATTTTAAGGGACGGAGGTAGTAGATATTATATATATGAATGAATGAATAAAAGAATCGATAAATAAATAAATAAATCAATAAATGTGTAAATAAATAATAAATGAATAAATAAATAAATAAATAAATAAATAAATAAACTCATTAATAAATAAATAAATAAATAAATAATACTTCCAGCACAAACGAAGGAGTATATACTAATCTCACACATGATGTAAATTGTAGATAGGAGTGGAATCGATCCCGTTCTCGAGGTTGATCGAGTCAGGACCGTCCGTTCTTCAAGTGGGACCGCAATCAAAAAATAAGATACATGGTCAGGATCGAGACCGGACCGATGGGAAAGATGTTCCGATCCAAGGCCTCCATATGTTTTTCCAAAGACCAGGTGCTCTAGGACCGGGATCGGATCCACTCATCCACCCCTAATTGTAGATATAAATGTAAATATAATATATAAATGCATATATAGATTAGTGTATAGAATTAAAACATAAGCTAGTATACATATTACACATAATGAGTAAAATCACAAATGTTTTAAAAAATACGTCGTGTATCTAAGATAAAGATGCATTGGTAATTAGTTCTTTAGTGGTAAACTATATATAAAGCTTGTAATATAAGCTAACAATGAATGCCTTTTGTCAATATCCAATATCCCTCATCCTAAATTTCAGTTTAGACTCCTATGAGGAACTAAACTCTTATGTCTTGGGTTTGCAATATTGAGACTTGTGATTTTGTAAGTTGTGAGTTATTTTCTTAAATCGTCCTCTTTTGAGTACTAATTACATTCATAAATATATTTCATATTGAATTTTGAGCGTTGCTAAGTGATCAATTAGTTAATTTTTCCATATTGATTATTACTAAATTCGATCAATGAATACACATGTTATTTGCTTGATTCTTTCATAAGTAGTAACTTTAGATTACTAGGACATGCATCTCATGGTTAATAATCTAAAGAGGAATTAGTTATATTGATTAAATAAAAAAATGTCATGTACATGTTGTCAATCTGAATTGATTTCATCAAAAGATAAATTGCTACTATCGAGTCAATATTTGGGGTTAGTTCTATTTTGACTAAATAGTAAGAGTTATTAATGAAATCATTTTGTTATTAATAACTAACCTAGATGAATTGAAAATACTCAATGATTGAGTATTTGACGAGCACTTTTTCGTAGTGCGTCAAAATAAATTCAATACTAACACTTATACGTAGTATAGCGTAGTAGAGTATTCCTTTCCCTAGTTCGTATCCACAGGGAAAGGAATACTTTTCTTTTTATGAAATACTAAATAAAAGGGGGGTTTTGGGATTGAGTGATTTAATTTAATTAAACACTAAGATGAACGACTTATATGAGTTTTAATTCAAAGATAAAAGGGACTTGGCTTTGCTACTTTCCCCTTGTTGATATATTTAGTCGATTCTTGTTATATCTATAACTTATCCCCTCTCGAATACTCAATCGAGGAGTATCTCCAATTCATCGAGGGTAGTTATTAACAACGACCGTTTATTAATAACTCTTACTATTAATCAAATATAGAACAACACCTTATACTAATTTAATAGTAGCATTTAATCTTTCTAAATTATAACTGCTTGATGAAATCAATTGAGATTGATAACCTCAACACAACGGTTTCGTTTTAACCAACAAAATTAATCCCTCTTAAGTTTATTAACCACGACCGTGCATTAATAAACCGAAGTTACTTACTTGTGAAATCATCAACGATTAACCATCGGTTCGTTGATCGTTTCTAGTAATAATTAATATTGAGATGTTGACTAATTGTCATCTTAGCAACACTCCCCAACATTAATATAGAAATAGATTAAGGGAAGAATTAATATTCAAGGAGAGAAGTTAAGAAAATAACTCACAACTTTAATAATCAACAAGCTTCAAGAGCAAAACCAAGAAATGGAAGTTTAGCACCTCATTTGGAGACTAAACATAGCTAGAAAAATATAAAGAAAGACTATTCTAAACTGAGCTTAAGTATATGAAAGAAGGGATGATTAAAAGTGAAGGAAAATGGGGTTATTTATAGGTGTTTTCAACACCTATGGCCGGATACCCGGCCGGGTATTTGACATACCCGACCGGGTATTTGACATACCCGACCGGGTATTTGACATACCCGACCGGGTATTTGTCGAATCAAATCTTTTTCCCACGTTCTTGTGTTCTTTTGCACGTCTTTTTATCCGAAATCACTTCATACCCGACCGGGTATATGGAATACCCGACCGGGTATTTGCTAGTTTCGCAGCAATTTCCTTTTTTACTTCATACCCGGTAGGGTAAAGGTCATACCCGACCGGGTTTTGCATAAAACTCAGGTTCCTTCATCCTTTTTGCTTCCAAACTTTTCCTAAACTTATAGCCTAACTAACTACTTCTTACAACATACAATTAAATGCGAAAAATACAATTACAATCAAACTAAACTAATGGCTACAAACTTCCACAATAATAGTAAATAATCATCACAAACAATAATAAAAATGTATACTTATGCACTAACAACTAGTGCCTATCAATATTCTAGAGGGGGTAATTAATGTAATAATCGTGATCAACAAACACTTCACTAATTGAAAATTAGCAAAACAAAATCTCCATCTGACTTGATTTATTTACCTCATAATGCATTCATTTGAGTGTTTTAATATTATCAATTTCATATATTTAAAATTAAAAAAAATCTTTGTTATAACTTCACAAGAGAAGAATACTAATGTCATATTATGGTATGTTATAATATGGTATTAATGCTCAATAGTGAATTACTTTTAGGGCGTGAGCAACAACCACATGCTGCCAAACACGATGGTAACACTTGTCATGGACTTGTATGCACCTCAACGGTCATGTTAATTTTCTCGCACTAATTAAAAGCTACAGTGGTAAAGGATTTTAGTATGAGTATGATCATCTCCATAAGGATGAAAAAAGGAAATCAAGTATTAAATAAATTCAGCGATTAAAATAAGTAAAATAAATACAAATGTGCAAGATTTGATTTATGGGAAAATTAATTAATGCAAAAAAAGCTAAATTAAAGGCTTCTTCTTAATTAATGACGAAAGAGAACATGAATTGATTTCAGGGGCAACCAGATTTCAGGGTTAATCAAGCTTAATCACATGAAAATTGTTTAATTGGGCAACGCAAATCAATACTATGTTTTTACAGCTCTCGCGACATAGATTATAATAATTTAGAGAGCCAGACTGATGTATCATGCGACAAGTTCCTAAATTATTTCCAAAATGAGTGAACGTACGATCCCATAATCGTTACTAATCTTTTAGCTTATGATTATGTGCGTAAAGGTGTGTCCTAGAATAATTTAGATGTCTCTTAATTATTCTATGTGCAATTATAAATCTGAGATGAAGTTCTAGATTACAAAAGATATCAATTATATTATTAATTCAAACATAAAAATAAATGATAATCATGCAAATAAATCATCAAGAACGAACCTCAGGTCATGATTAATATCCTCTTCATCAATCCCAAATCCCTAATTAAAACAACTCACAATTCATAATTGACAGATCAATGAAACTGATAAAGAAAGAATCAATTGTCATTAATTAAAAAGAGAAAAACTTACAAATAATCTCAGGATCTTGAATATCCAAAGTTGAAATTATGGAATAGTTCATCCTAAACACTCTCTATAAGCTCAATCTGTATCCCAAAATAGAGGTTTACAGATTGTTTAAATAGAGAACACATGAATTCTGGCCAGAAAAGGACATCTGGATGACGATTCACGCAAAAAACGTCGTGCACGGCGTGCGTGGCTCTCGCGCACGGCGTGCACGACCTCTTGTAGCCTCTCCGTGATTTCTTCTTTCACGAACGACATGCGTGCTTCGTGCGCACAGTTGTGCATACCCCGTTCGAATTTGTCTATGCTTTTTCAAATTTGGCCAAAATTCAAGGGATCAAATGAGTAAAAATTAGTGCTATTTTAAGAATAAAAAACGTGAGAATTCTATTTTTAATTTCGAAAATTTTATGATAAAATCCTAGCATGGATGAAAACTTAGTGATTCTACTCCTTATATTGTACTACATTCGTCCCACTAAGATTGGGACAAGAGAAGGTGTCACGATTATTAAGAAAAAATGATTTAGAGCCACATAAACTTTGCCAAATTTGGTATGAGACAATCTTAATGAGATTTCACGAAAAGGTAAAATGGGACAATCTTAACGGGAAGATTGGAATAAATGGAAAAGTTCCAAAATGAATGAAAGCCCAAGCAGCTACGACCCAAAATAGAAAGTATTGTTGTACAGTACTAGTATTTATACATTCACATGTCCTTGGCACCTTGTGCCTCAACCGGCAGACCGTTTGTACCGACAACAAAAAATTGCACCTCTTTTTTTATCGGGTACCATACAAAATAGGCCAAAATTATTATCAATCATAAAATGAAGGGAGGAAGATATTCAAAGGAAGGAAGTAAAGCAGGGTTGGTGGGAATAGAAAAAAAGAACGAGAGTTTAAGAGAGGAAGATCCTCCTCTCTCTGGTGCATATATTCGGAGCCTCGTGAAGCTGCAGCTGACTTCTTCCTCCTCATCGGGAGATGGTTTTACAGAAGTATTGGCGGCGACACCGCCGCCGCCACAACGCAAAAAACAAGCCCGGAGAAGACTCCATACCACCAGACCGTATCAAGAAAGGCTTCTAAACATGGCGGAGGCGAGGCGGGAAATAGTGACCGCCCTTAAGTTCCACAGAGCAGCCATGAAACAGAAGCAGCAACAAGAGGAACAACCTGCAGAGAGGCGGCCATTGGAGGGAAGCTGCAGCTTTCCTGCAGCTCCTCATCGAGCGCCGCCGCCACCATTTGAGCTGCAGCAAGAACCGATGATGAAGTTCGATTCAAGAAGCGGGGCTATCTGTCCACCCTTCTCCTCCTCCTCCTCCTCGTCCTTGTCCCCGCCATCTCATCATCATCATCATCATCCAATGGGTTACTATTACTCTGTTTCTCCGCCCCTGCCACCGCCGGTCCAAGAAAACCTCACCATCAATATTGCAAACCAGCAGCAGCTACCCTTGGGGTTGAATCTGAATTTCCAAGATTTTGACAATTTGGAGGCTAGCCCTTATTATTTGAGCCCATCAATTGCGGATGATCGGTCTGCGTCTTCGTCGAGCCTTCCTCCCTCGGCGGGGGATATGCATCATCCCGCGCTGGATGAAAAGGAAATATCAGAGATAAAGTCAACAGGGGAGAAACAGCAGATGGAATGGAATGAAAACTTGAATTTGGCCACTTCATCTCTGTGGTTAGAGTTCTTGAAAACCGTGGAAATTGGGTCCCCTGGGGAAGGCGAGAAGAAGAAGGAGACGAGGAATGGTGATGATGAGGATTACTACTCTTATGGCGATAATAATGGATGCTGCAGCTATCCATTATTTCACGAAGCGGTGGACTTCCCGGCCACTGCTGCGGCGTGGTTCAATGATAGCTGTTTGGGAGAACCCAACTTGAACGAGGAGATTAATCATTGTCATCACGATGATAAATGCTTCCAAAATCCTGCCTTGCCATGGTACGTAATTTTTTCTTCCCGCACTGCAAGTCTTTCGTTTTGAGGAATAATAATAGTACTGTAGATTGATTATCAGATTATGGAAGCTAGCGAACAAAGAAAACGAACGAAATTTACACGGGGGTTTAACGTCTATTCGAATGGCAGGTTACAAAAATCTTAATGGACCCACTAGACACAAAATATATACGGAGTATATAGGCTCAAACCGGTGATATCCTAGAGATTATACGGACACGGATTATGTTGCATAGCTTCAGTAGTTCAGTTCGGTCACTTCGGTGTTACTGTGTGTCGGCATTTTTTGTTTTTTTTACCGCAAAGGCATTTCAACAAATTTGAGGGTGAGGGGAGGGGAGGATCGTGAAGGGGAGTAGAGCAAACCGAAGGGGAGAGAGATGAGAATGGATTTCTTCCTCCTGTTTGGGAGTTTCAAATTTCAAAAGATGAGGGTTGGGAGATTTGAGGGGTTTTCGCGACGAAGAAATGAAACGAGTAGCAATTCATAAAGATTTTGTGCGGAACGGTTTTAATTCAGAGGATAAATCTCTGATTTGCGTAACTAGACCTTATAAAACCCTCAAATCAGGGATTAGAAAACCCAGGTTTTCGAGGGTTTAGAAGGATTTTATAACCGCACCAAAATTTTTCTTTCATATTATTTAAACTCTCAAACACAAATAGGAGGGTTTATATGATTTTCCATTCCCTCCAAAAACCAACTCCCAAAAAACCCTTAAGGATGTTTGAGGATTTATGCAAGACTAAAACTAATGTTTCACAACAAAATCTCCTCAACAACTAATGATTTATTGTATTGTGCTTGGTATATTATTACCCCTAATATTTGAAATGACTTTCAAGCAAGAACATAATGCTGAAATATGGCAATAATGTTTCTGATTGACAATATAGAGGAAAAAACAATATACACATAATCTACAACTTTGCATGTTTACTTCTATTTTGAGAAATTTTCTTCTTTGTTTATACTCAGTATATTTTACTACATCCGTCCCAATTTAAACAATATAACTAACTTCTCATCAGGGCCGTCTCCATGAATTTTGGTGCCCCAGACAAAAAATAACTAATGATATCAAATTGTACTTCAAATTAATAACATAATTAAATATGAAATAATTAGAAAATTATAACATCTTTTTTTACTAAATGTAAAAAGAAATACCTGATTTAAAATTGATGTAAAGTATGTGAAAATATAAATTCTTCAAAGAAATAAATAAAATTATAAAAGTACTACCTAATAACATATTCTTCTTGCTTTTTGATGTGCAAATTTGTAAGTACATCACCACAATCAAGAGTAAATAACGCTTTTTTCACCATTTGCAAGCACCGAGTTTAGTGTTTGTCACTAAAACTCCATTTTTTATCAACGAGGTAATCATCATGATCATTAATTCTTATTGGACCAGTTTATTCTATATATATAGGAAAATTCTCAAGTATGAAAGTTTGGACCTGAGGCGCCGTCCGAACACCGCAGTTTGGGACGGTTCCCGGTAGAATTTTTCGATGAAATTTTTATGGTATGTTATGCATCAAGTCTAGTTTATTCACAAAAACATTCAGCTCAAAAATCGATCCGGAAGATCGTCAAATAAGTTTTGGAAGTTGACTGCGTTTTTCTATGTATAATTTTGCGCAGTTAATTTCCAAAATTTATTTGACGGCCTTCCCGGTCGGATTTTGAGCTTAACTTTTTTGTGGATAAACTAGACTTGATAAAGAACATACCACAAAAATTTCATCAAAAAATTCCACCGGGAACCGCCCCGAAAGGCGTTGTTCGGACGGCGTTCGGACCAAAACCTGTTGGACAGGAGAATGATGTCCCCTTGGGAGTGGTGCCCTAGGCCACTGCCTAGGTGCCTACCCCCCATGGCCGGCCCTGCTTCTCATTCACTAGTCACATGATCAATTTAAATTAATCTTAATCTTTTGCTTTATATGTCAATTTTTTTTTATCAAATTTACATTTTTGATCAGGCTTTGTAAAGTTTTTAATGTAATTTCTCAATATTTAAAATTGTACTTTCTAAAAGTAATCTAATCAAGTTGCTTTATCATTAGTCAAACATCGTAATCCGAAACGGGAAATTCTTTATGGGACGGAGGTACTAGCTTCTAACTTTCATTCTGGACAACCAAATACCTTGTGATTCGATCACATTCTATGACACCTTCAAAGAGGTCACATGTTCGAAACTCATTTGAGTGATGATGTTGACATTTAATAGAATATATACTAGAATAAGTGACAAAGAACAGTAAAAAAACTTTCATTCCGGACATATACCCTATAACATTTGGGTGCAAATTGGTATTTATTCATTATTGTGAAAAATAGTATTCCCTAATAAAAGAAATGGTTACCAGTGGGCGTAGCTCAACTGGTAGCAAGAGAGTGCCACAAGAGTTAGGTCCCGGGTTCGAATCTCGGCAACTGCGATGAGGGGTTACTATGCTAAAAATGCATAGGGCTTCTGCAAGTACCGGGGACAGAGCTCTACTCTCTATCTGTCAGATTGGAATTATAGTCCAATTTACATCCTCCCAACGTACCGTGCGATCGGGGTTGAGCAGCCCTCAGGGATGGGTGTCCTCCTTTTTTTTATAAAAGAAATGGTTTGTTTGAACTTCTTTTGTAAGTTTGTGAGGGTTACATGCCCAAATGATGCAAGGTGTTAAATAGGTAGGGTGGAGTAGTCAGTCCAATCAACAATTCAACATCATCATCTTTCATTTATGAACCTTAGCCATTCGGCTGAGGCTTGTTGTTATTGGCTCTTTGTTGTGGCATGCAGCTAGAGATCAAGCAATGAAACAAAATACCCACGGCCCACTGAAACCCCATCCCCCAGTGCCGGGGATCCAAACTCCGAACCCATCCCCCATTTCATCCAATGATTTGGAGTGGCGTGGTTTGGATAGAAATCCCAATCTTATAAAAAGCATATTATAATTTAATCAACCATACATGCAAAAATTATGCATTTCAATAAAATATACTCCGAAATTGAGATAATACCAGAAGTAAAGGTTTTAAACAACATAAAAATGATTTGAGTAGACACTTAGCGTGTGTCAATAGTTTGCCTCTACGGGTTATTCAATGAAAATTGAATAAAAAACTATAAAATAATTAATTTAAACACATAAAAAGCACAAAGTTGTAAATTAAAATACGGAGTACAACAGTTCAAAAAACATAAAACCAATACTCTGTACTACGTATTAAAACTTAATACTGTACACACTACTAGTAATATAATAGTCGGGATACAACAAAAATTGGGCCGCTGCTTTGTTCCGAATAACACAATGAACCTCAATTAGCCGGCCTTGATTTCATTTTATTCGCTTGATAGTTATTACATGTGTGTTACATAGGTATGGTTTATTATACTATAAAAGAGAGATAATATCGATCACCAAAATGATTGCGAAGTGATAAGTTTAATTCCAACTACGAGAGCTAATTTACGTGAAATAATATTTGGGCAGCGTAAGTTAGTTTATTCATCGGAAAAACAAAGCCCCCTTAAAGTAAGTACATGAATTATTTATAGACATAGAACTATAGTAGACTAAGGAGATATAACCGGTACATTTAATAATCTAATCATGATGAGACTCCTCTAACGTATCCCATAATTCAGCATTTATTACTCCTTTATATTCGATCTCGCTAGAATCCCGCTCAGACTCAAGACCTGCTGATCATGTCGGCCTGAATGTGGGTTACTTTTGCGGGTCCTGGTCCCCTGTGAGGCCCAATTAGCTTCGTTGATATACTATCACCCGTCCCATTTTAATTGCAACATGTTGAATTTTACACTATTCACATGCTCTACTTTGACCACATTTTACGCTATTATTTTATGAAATTATTTTTTAAAAAAAAATTGTTCAATTCATCTCATTACAAATTTTCAAAAACTGGTTTTTAATATTTTTTTACTAATAGAATTAAGATATAATTACGATCAAAGATGTGTGTTGGCAAATGTGAAATATTGACCGTTGCAACTAAAAAAGAATGGAGGGAGTATTAATCCCGATTAATATAATCGGGATTAATAAAAAGCTATCTCAAAATAAAAAGCCGCAAGACAGTTTAGGAACAATAGTAATTAGTACACCCACTATAATGAGCAAATAACATGCATACCTATAAAAGTAAAATTGCATGCTTCATATAAAATATTCGGATTAGGAATTAATTCAACTCTATAATTACTTAGACCCAAAAAAAGAGAGAAAAATATTAGTCCCTGTAAAAGTTGTCCAGAGCAATGCATTAGGATCCGGACCTTTCTGTGTTTAATCATATATCCACGTTTTGTTAGTTGTCTGTTAGTCTGTTACATCACCAGAAAGTTTCTATTTCTATAGACTACCCTAATGGACTTTTGATTTATATTCAGGATGTGGATAGTGTTATAACTTATAAGCATAAACAAACTTACAAATAAGTGATACGATTATTATTGTACTTATCTTTGATTTAAAAATGAGGTGATAGTGTTAAATATTGAATTTTGCTCCTCTTCGGGTAACTGGACTTTTCCAGTAGGAGAGACACAAAGAGAGCAGGGGAAATGGTGGGGTAGGGAAAAATTAAAGATGAGATTTATTTATTATTTTTAAGGAGAGACATAGAGGGAAAAAATGAAGAGAGTAAATGGAGAGAATGAAATGGAGAGAGAAAGGGAGAGGAATGATCCTATTACACGTGTCTGACAAGATGTGTTGTGCGAACTTGCCCATTAGAGCGCCTTCCCACTAAACGTTTTTGATTAATTTTTTTGAGCATGTTTCTCGTCACACCTAATTTATCCATACCAAATTTCATCTCAAAATTCAATCGCGAATTCAATTAAATAAATTCTTGAAACATGCTGTGCATTATGTACACATATAATGTGCAGTATGTTTCAAGCATTTAATTAACTGCCTATCTGATTGAATTTTGAGCTTAAATTTGATGTGCATAAACTAGACTTAATGAGAAACAATCTCAAAATATTTCATCAAATAATTCCACCGGGAAGGCCCTCAAACGGGCAAGTCCGCATGGCGGGTCTGGTCAGGCACGCATGGCCAGATCAGTTCTCTCTCTGTATATGTGTGTGTGTGTGTGTATATATATATATATATATATATGTGTGTGTGTGTGTGTGTGTATGTGTATGTGCATGTGTGTTTGTGTGTGTGTGTGTATATATATATATAGAGAGAGAGAGAGGTGCTCCTGTCCGGCAGTTCTCCATCTGAACACCGCTGTTTGGAAGTTTGGGGAGGTTCCCGGTAGACTTTTTTAATGACATTTTTTAAGCATGTTCATCATTAAGTCTAGTTTATGCATACCAAATTTCAGCTCAAAATTCGATCGGTAAGGCAGTCAAATTATTTTTTGAAGTTAACTGCGCCAAATTATACATAGAAAAATGCAGTTAACTTTAACAAATTATTTGACTGCTTTCCTGATCGAATTTTGAGCTGAAATTTGGTATGGATAAACTAGACTTGACGAGCAACATGCTCAAAAAATTCATCAAACAATTCCACCGGGAACCGCCCGAAACGGCGGTGTTCGGACGACGTTCGGACATGAGAGTGCTGCACCACGTTGATTTAAATGTGAATGTTCTCACGTTCTCACGTTAAGCATCGTTCTCACTGGAGCTATTCTGTTGCACCTTTTCAATTTGCTCGAATTAAGCTTGTATTAAATAAAACGGTGGAATTTTGGTAAATATTGTGAATATGTGAAAATGTGCAATATACAAGCTTCATTGTGCAACACGTTGGGGTAAATGTGGTGTTCTCACGTTCTCACGTTAAACATTGTTCTCATTTGATCTTTATTATATATATATATATATATATATATATATATATATATATATATATATATATATATATATAATAAAGATATATATATATATATATGTGGGGTAAATGAATAACTTCATTTAATAAAGATATATACAAGCTTTATTATAAAGATATATAATAAAGATATATAATAACTTTATTATAAAGATATATAATAAAGATATAACTCGTTGGAAAGATATATACAAGCTTCATTTGTATATTTATATATACAAGCTTCATTGTGCAACACGTTGGGGTAAATGTGGTGTTCTCACGTTCTCACGTTAAGCATTGTTCTCATTTGATCTTTATTATATATATATATATATATATATATATATATATATATATATATATATATATATATATATCTTTATATATATATTTAGTATGTATTTTGATGCTAAGTATATATAAAACGAAATATTTTAATAATTTATTTATCTGACTTTCAGATATGAATTTTAAGCTGAACTTTGGTGGACATAATATAATCTTAATGAAGAACATTCTCACAAAATTTCGTAAAAAACTCAACCCAGAATCAACGGATTGACCGGTCATATGCAAGGGAACTTTGGGGACAATTAATTATATTGAGGTACATTCTATGGTACCCAAGGTACCATAGAATGTACTTCATGGACCAATGAGAATATTGCAGTTGAATTATTTAAATCCAAATTAAAAATGATATAATGATGTGGACCAATCAAGTGAATGGTAGGTACGGTACCCCATTTTTTAAATGGGTACTGGAGTTGTCACCTTATATTGATTAATTAGATTAGATGTTTTAAGGGTAGAAAACTAATGTTAAGTGCAATTTGGGGAAGATCTAATGTGTAAGTTTATTTTTATATAGGGCAATTATTGTTATTTTACTTGTATGTTTGAAATTTATGTAGTATTGAAGATATTGAAGAGAATGACGTGGAGTGGCTAGCCGGAGAAGAATAAGAATGCTTGGTTTTCAAGCTCCAAATTTTGTAATCGAATCAATGAATCCTTGTTTTGCAATTTATGTGTTGTGCCCATTTGTTGTTTTATGCCTTCAAGGAATAAGGGCTTTGTAGAACGTGAGAGGTTGATTGTAAGTAGATGAGATCGAGAAGAGTAATAATACCGACCGGTAGGCCATGAGAAAAGGTGTTGTGAGATTTATACTCATTTATTTAAAGTTGAAGTAATAACGCTTAAAACTGGTTTTGAAAGACGGTACTGCGGAATGCGGCCAAACAACACCATTTTTTTGCTGAGAACAGCAAATGCAGAAAATTATTAGTGTGCTACTTCATCTTTCTATTTTGTGAATAAAAGATTGCCAATAAGTGATATTAGGGTTTAGAGAAGGTCGACACAAGCGTTGTGCAAGTTCAACTAAGTTTTGGTGGTTGGCAGCCCTTCATGTACGGTAAATTACATCATACAGTCGGCTGTACCGTGCGCACAACGCAGGGTACAACCGAGGCTTTTTAGGCGTTATCCGCTTCTTCCCTTCGCACCAGACGTTCGCATAGGACATCGCAGGCGTTTTTGCACAGGATTTCGCACAGGACTTCGCATCTCGCTTCTTCAATCTCGTTGGACTTCTACGATCTGATTTCGCACCAGCAGCTCTTCATCAAAGTTCACCACTCACCCATCTTCTCCACCCCTTCTCATCCCTCTGTTTTTCTTTCCGGCATAGTTTCCGGTGTAGTTTTTACTGTTTGAGCATGTGATTTTAGGAAACAAGGGGAGCCTACTTCGTTGCTGAGGAATCTTTGATGCTGTTAATCTCAAATGAGTTTTACATTAAACTTAAATGAGTATATTCCTAAAAGGAATGAACATATTAATATTGAACATATTAAAAATGAGTTTTATATTAAGATCAAATGAGTACAACGTTCAAAACGAATGATCATACCCAAATGCGCATTTTAATTTTTTGATACCCATTTTCTAAGGTATAAATGCTCATTTGGTATCGCTTTATGCTCATTCAAAATGTTGCACATTTTAAACGTATACTGAAAAATGATAAAACAAAAGTGAATTGGAAGATAGGGAGCCGAGAACACCGATGCTCATTAGTAGGCTCATAATACTCAAAAACAGACTTGATGCTCACCAAAATTGCATCAATGCTCATTTTTCATCAAAATTACAAAATTGCCACCGGTTGTACGGCTGACACCGTATAGCTGGCTGTAACGTATACGCTTCCATCATGTACAGTAAAAGGATTTTATTGTCCACTCAACCATCAAACCAATAGAAGTGTAACACCCGGGCATGCCCGGGTAGTGCCACTTTGATAAATACTACATCCATCCAATTTTATGTGTCATGTTTTGGTTTGACACAATTATAAATAAATTGGTTGAAAAATTAAAAGTTGTAATTGAGATTTGAGTACAATAAAATGAAATGATGTAGATCATATATTTATTTTCAAAAATGAAATATGACACTTATTTTGGGACAACCCAAAGAGAAAAGTAGCACGGGTAAAATGGGACAGATGAAGTATTAAACAATAAATATCAAATAGAGATCGAGAGTTTTTATAGAATGAGGTAATGCTATGATGTTAATCAAAACAATTTAATATGAATGCTAATATTTTGTTGAAGTATGAGAATGAATACTCAAAAGCATTAATGTGCATTAGTCATTGTGGGTTTGAAAATGAATGAAAATATTAATGGTAGGGGACCAAAATTCGGATTAGCTAATTGCCAGATTGGTGTTTCAATGTGTGTAGTCTCACTATCGAAAGATCATTTATCCGATTTTACTTTGTTTTTATGCAATTTAACAATTGTAAACCACATTGCTCTAACTTTTAGTAATTTGGTTTGAAGTGCTAATTGCTGAACATAATTAAGAAACAATAATATTCTTTTTATTAACAAATTGGACCTTGTAACGCCCCAAAATCCGGTCTAGTTGTTAGGTTAGATGTGAATAAATTTATAGTGACAATATAAATTAATAATCATATTTCAGTCAAAAATTGGTAAATTTCTTTCTTAAATTTACTAAATAAGAAACGCTTAGTCTTATTTTATATAAAATTCCACCGTACATAATATAAGAATTAAGATTTAAAAAGTTAAATAGCATAAAGTAACAAGTGAACATGATACGGACTATTAGATTTCTAGCTCCAAATATTTTATTCATTTACATTGATGACTAATATACTTAAAGAACTTAGAAGAATAGAGATGTGGCAAAATTTTATCCTTGTCATTAGACACTTGGTCTTAATAAGACACTTTCTAAAATGACAAGGATTATACATGGAGGTTCAAATTGACTATATAAATAGGTGATGCTCTTACATTAGGTTTTAAGTAACAAACTAGTTAATTATTATATCCAAGAGAAGATACCCAAGCGCACTACCTTCTCGGATTTTTTTTCCAGAAACATTTCGTCTATAAGGTCAGTACGTTTCCGCCCCGTTTAGATTAATATGTATTTTAATATTTGATATGTTGAATTCCATCCACGTTTCCTCTTATGTTATGGGGATGATGACATTCTATAAATTAGAGATATTTTAGTTTGTGTGTTCTTTGAATTCATAAGAACTATTATTCTAAAAAAAACGATCATAAGTTTATTATATAAAATTTATCATGCGTAGCTTAGTGATATGATTCTCATAAATATACTTAGCTAATATGTTATCTACGTAAACTAGAAATGCGTAGCTAAGTACTAAAGAATAATATGCCTGCATCAACTAGAAACACATGCAGTTTACGTAAGTATAATAGATAATAATAATTCAATGACATGCACTCATTATTACGGGAGTATGCTTTATCAAATGCATGTGGATGTTAGTTAATATTTTAATATATGTGTAGTATTGCTTATATCTATGTTTTATGTGTTAGTATTACTTTTTATGTGTTAGTATTACTTTTGCCAGGAAACTAATATGGGGATAGACAAACTACGCATGTACACTTGCTGTATATAGATTTCAAACATACATAAAATCCATATTTTAAAAGTTTATTTACTAAGCTATAGCATTTAAAAAAAAGGGCTATTACGAAAAAAACTGTTACCAATAATACTAAAAGTAAATTGATTAGTTAGAATGATTACGTATTTGAGGTTAAATTATAAAATTGACATCTCACACCGAAATGAGTATTTAGGTTAAGAATGATTAGTTATTATATTTAAAAATAAGTATGTGTCTAAAACGCCTTACTCTTGATTTGGCACTCTGACGTGGATACTTCTGTCCTGTTTAGTGTACTACGTACACTCCTGAAATTCTGTTTTAGAGGAATCAGTGTTCTCCAGTTTAGTGTACTTCGTACACTCCTCAAATGTTTTTAGAACACTATTACTCTCCTGTTAAGGTTCGACTCTCTTTGGTGATCTCGTCCGTTCTGTTCAGCTAGCTTCTGTCAGGGATTGGTACGTGTAGCTCTGGCGATTACGTTTCCATACCCTTCCTGGGTAATGTGGGTACGAACTTTGTAATTGTATTCCTTACCGTTAGTATTCCGCTGTCTAGGTCCTGTTTCTTGAGTATAAGGCTAAGTAAACTAGTCTGTCTGGTTCATGATACTTTAAAAAAAAAAGAACTATCTGATAATCGGATATCTGAACTCGTCCTGTTCTGTATATGAATATTCTGAAATACATGAAAGTTTATTCAGTTCGTTCAGGTATGTTTATTTGTTCTAATGATCACATGCTAATTATGATATGTCATTATATGCTTTGATATGTTATATGTGTTATTATCGTACCACTCACCACATTGCTGAGTGGGTAGTTGTTTTTTTCCTACCCGTAGGTCAAGCACAGAGTCAACTTGAAGCATCGGGATGGAAGGAGGCATAGGGTTCATATGCATAAGATGTGTTTTGTGGGGTTATTTCGAAATAAACTTTTAATTGTCATTTTGATATTTTGTAAGAATCTTCCGCTGCAGTTAAATGAATTTTATGATATTGGCAAACTCCTGTTCATTTTGGGTTAGTTTGTGAAATATTTAATAATAAAATTATGCTTAAACAAAAAAGCTCAAATACGGTCTAATTTAATGGAAGTCTTTAAATAAATTTGTTTCGAATTCTGTCTCATGACAAACCACTCGGGTCGGCGGGGTCGGGCCGGGTGTGGTGTTACATTTTGGTATCAGAGCCAATGGTTTTAAAATCATTCTTTTAAACCTTGGGTAAATGGGTATATTTTTTTATGATGCAATGCATATTAGAAGGCCGCCTCTCATCCTAAAATCTGGTAAGTACCATAGATAATTAAAATATTATTTACTTTTAAAAATCTAGGCTTTACAATGTCTTCTGAAGACCCCAGTGAACATTCTGTACATGGGTCCACAAACGTTAGCGGGCAGCATGAAGAAAATCAGCAACCAGATCCATTCATGCAACAAATTGTCGGGTTCTTCCAACGATTGGTGCAGAATGTGGTTCCAAACCATAACGGAGATTCACGAGAATCCATTACGATCGAGAAGCTAAAAAAGAAATGGCGCCTCAATTTTCTTCAGAAAAGGGGGGATACTCCCGAAATTGCCGAGTTTTGGTACTTAGACACTTGATCTTAATAAGACACTTTCTAAAATGACAAGGATTATACATGGAGGTCCAAATTGACTATATAAATAGGTGATGCTCTTACATTAGGTTTTAAGTAACAAATTAGTTAATTGTTATATCCAAGAGAAGATAGGCAAGAGCACTACCTTCTGGGATTTTTTTTCCATAAAAATTTCGTCTATAAGGTCAGTACGTTTCCGCTCTGTTTAGATTAATATGTATTTTAATATTGATATGTTAAATTCCGTCCCTGTTTCGTGTTATGTTATGGGGATGATGATATTCTGTAAATTAGAGATATTTTAATTTGTGTGTTCTTTGAATTCATACGAACTATTATTCTAAAAAAATAAAATAAAATAAATAAATGATCATAAGTTTATTATATAAAATTTATCATGCGTAGCTTAGTAATATGATTCTCATTAATATACTTAGCTAATATATTATCTACGTAAACTAGAAATGCGTAGCTAAGTACTAAAGAATAATATGCATGCATCAACTAGAAACACATGCTGTTTACATAAGTATAATAGATAATAATAATTCAATGACACACACTCATTATTACGGGAGTATGCTTTATCAAATGCATGTGGATGTTAGTTAATATTATAATATATGTGTAGTATTGCTTATATCTATGTTTTATGTGTTAGTATTACTTTTTATGTGTTAGTATTACTTTTGCCAGGAAACCAATATGGGGATAGGCAAACTACGCATGTACACTTGCTGTATATAGATTTAAAACATACATAAAATCCATATTTTAAAAGTTTATTTACTAAGCTATAGCATTTTTTTTAAAAAAGGGCTATAACGAAAAAATGTTACCAATAATACTAAAAGTAAATTGATTAGTTAGAATGATTACGTATTTGAGGTTAAATTATAAAATCGACATCTCACACCGAAATGAGTATTTAGGTTAAGAATGATTAGTTATTATATTTAAAAATAAGTATGTGTCTAAAAAGCCTTACTCTTGATTTGGCACTCTGACGTGCATACTTCTGTTCTGTTTAGTGTACTATGTACACTCCTGAAATTCTGTTTTAGAGGAATCAGTGTTCTCCAGTTTAGTGTACTTCGTACACTCCTGAAATGTTTTTAGAACACTATTACTCTCCTGTTAAGGTTCGGGTCTCTTCGGTGATCTCGTCCTTTCTGTTCAGCTAGCTTCTCTCAGGGATTGGTACGTGTAGCTCCGGCGATTACGTTTCCATACCCTTCCTGGGGTAATGTGGGTACAAACTTTGTGATTGTATTCCTTACTGTTAGTATTCCGCTGTCTAGGTCCAGTTTCTTGAGTATAAGGCTAAGTAAACTAGTCTGTCCGGTTCATGATACTTTAAAAAATGAACTATCTGATAATCGGATATCTGAACTACATGAAAGTTTTTTCAATTCGTTCAGGTATGTTTATTTGTTCTAATGATCACATGCTAATTATGATATGTCATTATATGCTACGATATGTTATATGTGTTATTATCGTACCACTCAGCACATTGTTGAGCGGGTAGTTGTTTTTTTTCCTACCCGTAGGTCAAGCTGTAACACCGTACCCAAATTATATTTACTTCTTAGTAATATTGTATTAGACACTATGGAATGATCAATGAATTTATGAAGTTGTAAATTCTTTTTATTAATTCTTTCGCGTGAATAGTAAATTGCACGTGGGACCCACATCGGGGGCGGGGACCACCCAACTTTCCCGAGACCGCATATTTTATTCATCTTGGTGAAGATAATATTTATATGGTGGTGGATATTTTATTTGGGGCGTGGAAAGGCCCGGAGTTGACCGATTGGGCAAAAGAGACCCAAATACCGGTACCGACAATTTAACAGATAATAGCCCGGAAATGAATTTCGGAGGCTTATAAATTAAAACTTAGGAATGTATATTCATTATAAATGTTATAATGAGTAAGAGCACATAATATATTTTATTTGACCCGATAAAATAAAATATATTTAAAACAGTCCGAAAAATACAACTTTCGGGACCGATGTACACTTCAGAACTTAAAGGGATGACCTCCACATGTGTGGGGGCCAACCCACGAAATAACGCACTCAAGGCCATATCTTGGGCGGCTGAAAGGAAGGAAGAGAAGGGGGGTTGTTTGGGTTTGACTTGAGAGACATCTAAGGACAAAGATGGGCTCCCATCCCACACTTATTGGTCATTTGAGACAAAAGGATGTACTCTCTCTCACCCCTATCATTAAGCTCGAGCAAAGCATCAAGGAAAGGAAGGAGAAAGCTCTCAAAACAACCTTCATTGTTGCAGCATGAGCTCAAGAGGAATTGGTCCAAAGAAGGAGGTTTGAGAAGGAAAAAGTTAGGAAAAAGTGAGAAGAATTAAGGAGCATAAATAAAGTGTTTCTAGAGTTCGCCGGAGTTTCGCCGGAGTTCGCCGGAGTTCACCGGAGTTTCGCCGGAGTTCAACCGTGGAGCGTAGAACACGCTAAAAGCTCATTTAAGGTGAGTGGACGGCTTAATATCTTATAACTTTTGGGTTAACTATGAGATTACCTAAATAAATGTTATATGTGTTCATAATTATGTTTAAAAGGTATTTAAACATGTGATTAGCCAACATGGTTAAGTTTGTATGAAAGGAATTAATTGTTTATGCATGAAATATGTTATGAGGAATTATATAAAATGCATGTTTGCTTGAAGCGTAAGAGGAGCACAAATGAACATTATTACCTTAATTATATGATGATTAATGGGGTGTTTTGATCTGATTCTTAAAACTACTTTTGCTCCTTCAGAGAGCAGAAGTAGAAGTTGGAGTGTTTGGGTGAAAATGCAGAAGTGATTCTGGTGTTCTAATTTACTCCTAGAATCAGTTTTTTTAGAAGCTGGGGGGTACCAGCTTCTGAAAACTGATTCTGATTCTGCTTCTGCTTTAAAAAAGAAGCAGAAGCAGAATCAGTTCCAAACACCCCCTAAGTTGATACGTATAAGGCTTGAAATGGTGGTCAACGAAAACGTTGACCGATGGATAATGGATTAATTGATACCGGATGGTATTAGTTAATTATGAATTTATATAAATGCATGGCTTTGCATGAATTGAGATACATAAGCTTTATGGATTGATTTAGCTATGAATGAATAAATGTGATGTAGACTCTATCTAGGTTGATAGGAGGTTGATCATATAAATATCTATTGGTGGAGGACCCTAGAACTTAAAGTCCTTAACACTCAAAATTTTATATTGGTGGAGGACCCTAGAACTTAAAGTTCTTAACACTCGGATTACGTATTGGTGGAGGATCCTAGAACATAAAGTTCTTAACACTCGGATTCTAAATTGGTGGAGGACCCTAGAAGTTAAAGTTCTTAACATTCGGATTATAAATTGGTGGAGGACCCTAGGACTTAAAGTCCTTAACACTTGGATTATAAATTGGTGGAGGACCCTAGGACGGAAATTCCTTAACACTCGGATTATAAATTGGTGGAGTACCCAAGGATTATGATCCTCAAAACTCATAGGTTATGGTATATAAATATGGACAAGGAGGAGTCCTATACACTCATAGGCATATATGGGTGGGTTGGGGTTTTTAGTCAAGAATATTGACTATTACTATTTTCCCAAATAAAACGGTGATCTACGGATCGGGTATTTTCCAAGTGTATATGTACTATTAAGTATTTCTTAACTTGGGGGG